AGTGAAACAAGATGAATGAAAAAGGAGGGAACATGGAGAGTGTTGACACTTTATGAGGATTTCAACCAATGTAAAGGCACAATTTGTGTATGAACTATTAATCAGGAAAGGCAACTTCCTATGTAAGCTCTCATTTAAAGCATAATAAAGTGTAAAACAAAGTGAAAACTTTCCACAGTCCAAAAGTTGTGTCAGGAAAAAGACTTCTCGATAGAATAGAGTGTGAGATATTCCAACATTTGTCTTAGGTATCTAGTGCTATGGCAGAAATTTCACAAATGGATGGCGTCATCAAATAAGAATTTAATCTCTCAGTTTAGGAGGCTGACAGTCTAGATTCAGGGCACCACCAATTCTCTGGGGTAAGGTTTCTGTTTAAGAGAATGGTCCTTGTTTCCTTTTAGCATCTGTGTGCTTGGTGTTTGTTGGAAATCTTCATGTCTTGACATCAATGTCTGTTGGCTTGTGAAGTCCTGAACAGAGAAACCACCCCTGGTCCACAGAAAGCCCTCCAAGCCTGGCTCTTCTTTTCTGGTGGGATGAAAATCCTTCCCTTTCTGCTCATTTATCTCTCCTAAGATAAAACAGGACGTAGGTCATATCCTAGTCAAATTCTCCTTGTGTCAGAGTAAGGGTCCTTACAACTGATTAGCTGTTTACATCAGGGAAGTTTACATTACATAAATGCCATACCACTGAGAATCATGGCCCAGTCAACTTGATGTAATTTTAGGGTCCACCATCCCATCCAGGACAGCATTTACTCAGACACTTAAGCATTCGTGTCCTGTGGAGAATGGGGACATTTCCTCAAAGTGACCTTATTTTGCGGTTGTCTTATTAAGCAAAGAATTTCACACACCACACCCCTCCTCCGAGGGGGACAAACAACAGAAATGTGGGTAAAGGGGGACAGCGGTCAGTGTAAGATATGAAAATAATTTATAATTTCTCAAGAGTTCACAAGGGTGGGAGGGCGGAGCCAGGAGGGGGAAAAAAAGAGGAGCTGATAAAAGGGCTCAAATAAAGTAAATGTTTAGAAAATGATGGCAACATATGTACAAATATGCTTGATACAATTGATGTATGGATTGTTATAAGAGCTGTAAGAGCCCCCAATAAAATGATCTAAAAAAAGAGAATGTAACTTCAGTAGTTATTGAAAAGCACAAGGAAACCAACCAATCCGGTATTGGGCCTTCTATACCTTTTACACATCCTTAATCTTTCCTCAGTAAATAGATTTCTAGATTTGTTTGAGACCTATCTAATTTAGTTAAACATAAAACAGATCTTGCTTAACTAGGTTGTTTTTGCCAGATATTACAATTCACACTCTTAAGATGGAAAGTTTGGGGGTTAATAAATTCTCATTAAAGCCATGGGGGGGGGGAATATTTAAATCTTACCTTTGGGAAAACTTTCATCCAAATGTGAAAGTTTAGTCAACCTGGAAGATCCTAGTAGAGATCAAACTATTCTATTATTTTGTGTTCCTTTAGTTTATACATTGCATCTTTACTTATATAGCCAAATAAGCTTATTTTCCTATTATACAGGGGGCTGTGTGTGTTTTGTTCTGAATGAAACCACTACAGGGTAAGTGGGATGTTTAGTGTTACCATGGGTCCCAACTTGCACATAAAATCGACTACCCTTGTCACATTGTTCTGTTTAAGTCAAAAACTGAAATGAACATTCGTATTCTTGATCGTATCACGCGTGATTATGGGCGCGTTATTTTGGTACCTATAGATTGCACTCTTCTAAAGTTTCATTGATTTATCAAACCACACTGTCTCATGTTAGTTTTGTCACCTGATATAGTCACTGATAAAACTGGTTCTGCTTCCCTAGATACGTAAAAACAATTTTCATGCCAATACATAAGCAGCAGTAGAGCTGGAAGTGGTGGCCCTATGGATTAGGTGTTGGACTGCTAGTCACATGGTGGGCAGTTCAAATCCAACTGCTGAGGGATAATGAGGTTGTCTGCTCCTATGAACCATTTAGTCTCAGAAATTCTAGAGTTGAGCAGTTCTGTTTTGTAGGGTTGCTGAGTTGGAATTGCCTTAATGGCAGTATGTGGGATGGGTAACTAATATGCTTGAAGAGCTAATTTTAGCAGGTATTTAAATATAACTGAGACTAGAGGCTAACAGGTAAGGATGGCTGAGTAACCAAGTCTTTACCCTAAGTTTTTTACCCTGGAATAACTTTAAAAATTGGACAGATGCCTCAAGAAACACCCAGCCAGTAAGGAAATACTTTTCTCTGGACATGCAGCAACATCAAGGATGCACAAATTTTCTTTAAAGAAAAGTACTATTAATTCTTGTCTGTAATAGTTAATGCCCCTCCCCCCATAAAAAAAACCCCCAAACTCCACTGCATAAGAGTTGATTCATGTTCAGTGAAACTGCCCCATAGGATTTCCAAGTCTGTAATCTTAATGGATCCGAATCCCTGACCTCTATTGAGACATCAGGACTTGTAGAACAGATCTAGGTGTGAAAGAGAAAAATCTCAATATTTCGACTTTAATTTATGGTAGGGAGGAATGAGATGGCAGAAGTACATTAATAGCAAAAGTCAACTAATGCTTCTTTGCTACGGATAAAATACACAAGAATGGTTTAAGAATCCTTAAGACACCTGTTTTTGAATTGAGCTCAATGGATCTATTTTCTAGCTGACGTCTGAGTTGTACTTAAAAACACTGGTGAACTGTCAACTTCAATGTAAGACTGCTAGATTTAACTTCCGAAATATGAAACACGAGTAAAGGGATACAGCAGTGTAAGATAGGAAAAATAATATTAATTTATCAAGGGTTCATGGGGTGTGTGGGACAAAAAGGAGTCGATAAGGGCTCAAGTTTTGAAAATAACAATTTAAACGTTTACTTGAGATAACTCATTTATGTTTTGTTATATCTGTAAGAGTCCCCAGTAAAATTTATTAAAAATTTTATTGAAAAAAAAAAAAAGACAAAATAGGTTTATGATAGGCATCACATACACACAGCACTATTTTCTCAACAGCCCTGGGTACATTATCAATAATTTAAGCTTCAGTTCTGTAGTGTTGACTTCAAGCAGAATTTCAGGGATATTAACCAATCTAAGATAACCTCGGCTAGTGGCTTTCTACTCCAGCAGTTACAATCTTGAAAACTCTCGGGGCAGTTCTAGCCGGTCCGACGGGGTCACTGAGTCAGAATGTACTCCATGCCAGTGAGCTGTGAGAATCGTGAAATAGGATTTAGCAAACTCCAGGGAACCAGGTGAGCAGAACTGTCCTGAGTTCCCAGTACTGTAAATCTTTACAGCAGAGCTTCCTCCTCTGCCAGATTGTGGTTTCAAACTGATAACCTTGCAGTCAGCATCCCAACACAGTGTAATTCACTACACCACCAGAACTCCTTAGTAACTTCACTACTCAAAACAAATAGCACTTCGTGACAAAATGTCATATATATTTATGCCACAAAATGGTGTCTTTTCCTTCTAGAACTTTAACAGAGATATACTTTTAAATCAAAAATCAGGACTCTTTGCTTTTCTATGAAAACAGTGGCTTGTAAGAACTCAAGTATTTTGTTGTACTTGTAGCCTTGTTTTTAAAGCATATTGTACAAACACGAAGAACTGCCTTGACAAACTTCAAGTTACCTTTGACTGCGCACTGCCCTCTACAATTGTTTATTGGTACATTATCAAACTCATTCATCACTCTTTCCAAAACAAGCTAGGATTTACAAAATTTGCTTTGAAAACCATTAGCCTGCATGTCCAATTAGGCCACTGCATATTCCGACATTTGCATTTGAAGCTCAAATAATCTTAAATTACAGCAAACCCACTGCCATCAAGTTGATTTCAACTGTGCTGTAAGACGAGTTTGTCACTGTCTTTACGGGAGTAACCAGCCATCTTCCTCCGGCTTTGGCTGATGGGTGTGAACCTCCAGTCCCATGCTCACCAGTCAGCACCAGCAAGGCTCTGGAAGGGTTGAGAGGGTGTTCCGCAATGAGTACCCATTTATAAATCAATGCTTGCATCACATAGCTGTCATGTGAACCCAGAAGAGATTGTAACAGGGCTGTGCTTACAAGACTTGACTTTTACCGATTTTACTTTAAACTGAAGACTACAGATGTGGACCTGCTGCACTAAAATTCAACCATTTAGTCATTCTGTTTTCTGAAGTTTTTAGAAAGCATTACTTCCCTAGGACATCACAATTTATGGCTTATACAAGACTTTAATGCTTTATCTTCAAAACTATTAGAATGTGATTATCCTCATTTACAGATGAAATGTGATGCAATGGCTCCATTACCTAAGACAGCCTGGTTCAAAAAATTAATCCACACAGACAAAATTCACCTCTGATAAAACCTGAGGTGACTTTTACAGATTAGATCTGAATATTGATTATAAAAGGATCAGCCCAAGCTCATAGCTGCTTTACATCATTATGGCCTTGGGAGGGCAATTAGCCAGTTTAAAAGGGAAAACATTCATACAATGCTTAATATTTCTTAGTGTACATTCTGGAACCAAAACTGGCCTGACGTAAGGTTTGCATTCCGAGTTGAACAGAAGAACCTAAGTTCTTTCACTCCCTCCTGAGCCAATTGAAATACTGGACAAGTTTAATCCAGTCATTCTCCCTATTGTTTTGTGGCTTCAAAAGCTGCAGGCTGCTTATAGTAGCCCTGAGGGGAAATCCCTCATGGCTCATTATTCTAATTTCATCCCTTCTCCCCTAAGTTATGGTTCTGATCCTAAAGGTGGGTGCCATCATGGACCACACTTAAAAATGTTTCTCAAACCTGCTCACGGTTCATGTTTACAGATGACAATGAGAAAAATTATATATAAAACAATGAAAATTCTATGCATGCAACTAAAAAGGTTGAATATGAAGCATTTTCTAATTCTCTCCCTTTAGGCTTCTAGCTATGGTTGAGAAACCCAATGAACAAGTGCTAGTTTCCCTCTGTACATGGCTTTTATTATTTACATAATACAATATAGCATCAATGCTGAATAGCATGATTATGTGCAATACATAAATATGAGCTATCTGTACAGATCTGAAGATCTAACTGAAAACTAGGGTACATAAAATTGGAAGTGAAACTGAATGTCCTAAAAGTAAAAAACTAGGACCAAACACTGCAGCAAATCAGTAGTGCCTCGTGTACATACTTAACTATTTACAGATGAAAACAGGCATTTACCACAACACTAACTGTACTCATTTATATATAAAAACACGAGTTTCATACATCACAAAAAACCTTCCATTATAACACAGAAGTGATATTACCAGACAAGCATCAGTGAAGTATACTGCCTTTTCTAGTTGTTATTGTACAATGCTGTAGATAATGCAGCCCATGCAATACACCCAAGAACACTAGAGTCCTACACCCAAGTACAATTAATAGGATAAAGCAGCCCTCTGCAAGTGGTGCTGGTACCATTAAGACGTCTACTGCAGCCGTGTTGGTTATGGTTTTCCATGCAGAAGGGTAGTTACATTAAGAACTGGTCTTTAAAAAAGCTTTAAACATTCTTTCTTAAACCAAAACATTCAACAGATGCACATGGAAAAATATAAAACAAGAAACCCAACTGTTCAAATAACCTTTGTAACTTAAAAATTCAGATGCATGTCATTCGATGGAACTGTTTTTGCTCTATGTGGTGATCAAGCGTGGTTTTAATTTCTTCTTGTAAACAAATTACTTCTAGTGCAGTTCTGTGCTACATTTTTAGCAGAGTAATGCAGACATCTTCAGGTGCAGGCTAGCACAATAAGCTTCAGAGATAGGAAGACCCTGTTGTATTTACCTTTCACAGAATGTCTTAGTACTTTTGACAGCTTTTAGAAGACCAATTAACACGTGGCACCAAATACTGGTTTCATGGAACGGTCGGATCCTCTTTACAGCTTTCTTCCTGCTTCCAAAACATGTGGAAATTAACAGGGTGAAGTTTAACTATGGTAGAAGTAGACTGCCAGTCCTTTTCTGGTGTACCATTAAAAAAAAAAAAAAATACAGGCACATAACACTAGCCAAAAATTACACCTTGATTACATTCTCAAAAGGCAGATATGCTGCAAACATGCAGAGATTTCATTTGGCACACAGGAACTAAATTTTGTCCCTAATCAATGTACTTCAATTTGCTGTGCATATTTTCATCCAATTTTATTCAGGGAGAGGGCATATACATTTTTTAGGGCTGTATCTATCCAATTCTGCCTGTAACAAACACCCAAACATTCTAAATTATCAATTAGACAGACAAGTGTAAAGTAAAACTCTGGAGAACATCAAAGGAAAATGGCCATGCATCTGCGCTTTAATGTTTCCCTATGATATATTAAAATAAAAACAAAGTTTCAGTCTCTTCACAAGTAGTCAATTTATATTCTCTGGATTTTTTCAGCCACAACAACTGGATTCTCTTTTCTGATTTTTGCTGCAGCTTCTGCTCTGTAGTCATACGGACAGTTGTGCTTGTCAGAGTAGCGGTGCAGGCCACAAAACAGATTCCCACATCGGCAGTCAAACCCTGTACAAACAAGAGGGAGCTGAGTCACTTAGGAACTTGAAGCAATTAAAAGAAAAAAACCCCTTTATTAACTACAGAAAAAGAACTAGGGTCTCATTGCTCTTCACAACATGAAAGTCTACTGGAAAATGAAAAAACCTGTTGACCTCATCATTAGCATGGTAGTAATTAGGACATAAAATTAACTCTTATCCCCAAAGGGCAGTAAGAACTGTTAAGACAAAGTGCTTGGCAAACTCCTCCACATCGATATGAGACCAATCGAGACCATCAGCTAGCTTCGGGCAAGCGCTTCCCGCTTTCACAAATTCCCATCCTAAGTAAAAGGTCTGAAGGACGCTTCTTGGGCTCAGACACTAGCCCAACCACACTGGGGGCCTCAAAAAGTCCTTGGAAAAATTATAAGGTATTATATTTTCCCACGAAGGGCTGACATATACAATACAATGAAATTATAAAGCAAAGCACTCATGCATATATTGCCAGTCTCATGGGACATTTCCAAGTAAATTTTGGCCTATCTAGCCATCTTCTCAGATTTTAGGTAAATCTAATTCCATTTATTATCATTTTCCCCTTTAATGCATACGCATACAATAGTGTGAAAATGTTGCTTTTGATGAAGGTGTAATCTATTGTCAAGAAACCACAGATTTGAGTTTCGTAGCCTTTCTCATCGGAGAAGCCACCAGCCCTAACTCGTCCAACCTTTAGATGTACAGCCCACTGTTTAACTACCTGTGGCACCAGGGCCCCACAGTCTCCTCTTTAGGGAGGGAGGTTTGAGTTCCTCAATTCTCAGTAAGCAAAGGCAAAGATTTCTGAATACTACTGAAGAGTAATTCTGGCTTTAAAACGATTAAAAACGATCTTGTTATTTTCCCCTGGAAACAAAACTATTAAAGATGAATGGTAGAAGGCAAACACCTCTACCAGCAGATGAGCTAGGTTTGCGTACATCATAACTTAATGCATGATCAACAAATGGAAGACAGCAACAAGTTAAGAAAGCACACGACAGTGTGTAATCTACACTAAAACTCATTAACGTAAATTATTTGCAGTATGTTCATTGCTGCTGCTGGTTCTGGTACCTTTCTCAGAGAATGAAATTGAGATAATTTTTTCAGTCTAATTTCAGTAAATTAATTTGAACAAATGGCTTTCTATGAAAATCAAACCCGACTTCCAAGTCCTTTCCAGGTCACCTTGGAAAATGCCTATTTTTGAAGGCCAGGCATTTAAATGCAAGAGCCACCAATCTCTGAAGAAAGAAATGCTGGCAGTGAAATATGAGAGGGCCTCAAAAAGTTTGTAGAAGATGGAGTTGAACGACAGAATTTTGCCACACACTTTCAGAAGGCTTTTCATATATTTCTACATGATCTGCAATACCTGTAAGGCCAACTTTCTTTCTACACATGAAACACCTGTTCTTCTTTGGTTTGGGCAACTCGGGAGCTTTTTCTTCACTTTGAGAAGGACTGGGCTGAGAAACGGATGGACTGGGCTGAGTGACAACTGAAAAATAAGAGCAGCATGAAATTTTAAGAGTTCACCAGATAACAATGACACAAAAGTGAAAAGTGAAAGAAAAAAGTAATCATCGAAAACAATTGCTACTTTTAAGGGAAGACTTTTTAAAGAAGCCCTTCTTCAATACTTTTAACAATGATCTTCTATTTTAACACCAGAACTTCCAAATCTGAAGCTATTTTGCTAATAATAAAACCATTACCATTTCACTCTTCAATCAATCTCACTTTTTTATCACTGGAAAACCAAACTTTAATTCGAAATTTGAAAAATCTGGTCATGGGCTCATTTCTCTAGCCTAAATGTAAACTTTCTAACTGAACAACAAAAAAGCTACTGTCAAGTAAATTCCAACTTATAACACATACGAAGGAAAGAATAGAACAGTTTTACAGGGGCTTCTTTATGGAAACGGATTGCCTGGCTTTTCTCCTCAGAGCTGCTAACCAGGCTTGACTTGCCCATAATTTGATTAGCGGTTTACCGCTTAACCAACCGTGCCACCAGGACCTCTCAAGTTCCTAATGAGAGTGGCCCAAATTCCTCAATTCTCAGTAATAATGGTGAACACTGAGCACTAGTAAAAAGTAACTTCGATTTTTACCAGATACAAAGTAGATGAACAAAATTTTGTAAAAACCGCATTGCCATTTTCACAAGTGCAGACTTTACCATATGTAGAAATCTAAGGAAATTTCTTTTTCTTGCAGAACAAAAGTGTAGCCTTTTTAAAATTCTGAAATGTTATCTTTGGACAATGAAATTATGACCTAGAAAAGCTTTAAGAAATTTTGTTCACAAGTAACTGTCACAAAAAACTGAAATAACTACATAAAAAACTACCGCAAAATTTTCCTTAAAAAAAAAAAAAAAAAAAGAAGAAGAACAAAAAACCCCCAAAATACTTCTACTTATAGTACAATCAACTACACCAGAAACACTGAAGGCTTACTATTGCATTACTATTAATCCAAACTAGGGAGAGCATATGTATGCAATGCTGACATTTCTTGGTGGTATAAAAGTAAAGAAAAACTTATCTATGAATACCTGGGGCTGAAGGAGGGGAGTAACAGTCAGTTTTAAGGTCACAATCTGAAAAATAACAGTGATTTCTAAGAAGATGGGGAAGAGAGGGAGAAGGATACAGAAAAGGCAGGTAGCTGTGAAGCAGAGATTGCTTACTAAGATATATGCAGACAGCTACAGATGTAACTCAATTCTTCCAAGGTCAGAGTGAATTGTTTTAAAGAAAGATGAGACATTTCAAAACCATCAAATCCAGATTCATTGCCCAACTTGATGATTTGGCTTTAATTTAGATTGCATTTCTATTGACGGGATTTCTTCCCAATAAGCTTTTACATTGTGTTCAGTTTACAAAATAATGAACTAGACCTTCTTTGTTCTGGGGTCTAAAACAGCTAATAATCCATGTCAATGTTCTCAATATATTCAAATACATCAGTTGTGCTAAATGATCATAAGCTTCAAGGCGCTCATGGAAACCAACATCTTTTTATATACTTTGTTTTATCAACACCCACAAATACTCTAGGGATTGTGCATTTCTTTTTACTCCCGTTTAAACAATGTGCTAGAATACTGACGTCAAGACATTTTTTTCCTTTTTACAAGTTTCAATAGAGAATTCAATGTTGTGAACATGCATTAGTGGATAACATCTTTTCTAACAATTTAGATAACAAGATAATGCGAAGCCACCTTTCAGCTTCATTAAGTTCTTCTCAACACCTCATGTCTTGATCACAAACTACTCATTTGCTGTACTGGGCATAGCAGGGAGAAGGTAAGAGGTGAAAAGAACAGAGATTTCTATACTTCAGATAATTTAAAAACTGTTTTGGTGGCCCCTACTTTATAGCTCTTTGGTCCTATAACTAGAAGAAAGACTCTCCTTCAATCCCAGCTCTCTCAGAACACGAACGGCAGAACTGAACTAGTACTGAGCAAAAAGCATACCTGGCTCTGACACCTCTGTTTTCGGGGTGGTTATTTTTTCCTCTCTTGAAATGCTCATTTCTGTCATTTGCTGAGTTACAGGCAAGGCAGCCACAGGCACATTTCTATTAGAGTTCAAGGAAACATTTTTAAATGTTAACAAGTTCATATATAACTATATTAATTAAAATCTCAAGTTACCAGATGTCCATAATAAAGGGTTGAGAATAAATCTGAGGAGCAATTTGATAAAAACTCATCAACTAAAGGTTGCATCTCTATATAGGTTATAATGTCCTATTATTAAAATTAAGTAGGAATTTCAGCTATGTAAGGGCAAAAGGGGAACCCTTATGAGGGCCTATCAGACACAGTACACAGTAGGGCTTCAAGAATGGAATAAAAAGATAATGGTATTTCCCCACAAACTTTCTGAAGTCCCATCATATAATGTGTAGGCTCATTTTGACTACTAAATCTCAATTTTAACACAAGTACAACATCCTCAACGTTGTACCCTGGGGGTGTGTTAGGGACTGTGTTTTAGTATCTACCACTTTCCTCAATGACCTATGAGATCATCTAGCACAAGCAACTGAAATCTGTCTAATGCAGGAGAAGTCAAGGACAACTGATATATTAGCATTTTACAACGGCCCAGATAGCAGACATCTTTATTTTGTGAAAAAGAAAACTCCCAAATATTCAACCTTACCTTGATTTTTCAGACGTGCTGCCAGCAGCACCTTCACAGTTGTTTAAACTACTGTCTGCTCTCTGTACAGATGCAGAGTCTGAGGTAGGACTGTTGGAACCACTAGCTGACCCTATTTAAAAAAAGGGCTTATAAGAACCAAATCAACACTACCAAGATTCTTAGCACCAGTACAATTAATAAGTGACAAATACTTGCATTTAATTAGGTTATGAGCTATGAATTTTCACTCTGCTGCAGAATCCTACCCTTTATGTGACTACCGAAACAAACAAAGATATATTTCAGTCATCTGGTGCAGCAACAAGTATGAAACAAAACCCCAAAACGGAACTGAATAAAGCTAGAAGATATTTGTAGATTCATTAATTCCTGGTGCCATCAGGCCATGTGCTTGGCTGTTGCTTTAATTTCAAGCTCTTCTTAAAAGATCCTTGGGGGCTTTCAGCAGTGATTCTCAGTCCCAGGCCCCTATTGGCTCTGTTTTCTGTCCACCAGTTCTTCAAAAGTGTTTTCTCTTGAAAACAACTTACCCATTGGACTCATTCTGCCACTATTCTGCTGCCTCTGAAGATGTTCTTTGTAGCAAACAGAACACATTCCATTTGTCCTAGGATTTCCATAAAAGCCACATCCTGTACTACACAGCATGGGCCCTGGGGTCTGGTTGGTCTCCTGAGCCATATTGTTCTGCTACAAACAAACAAGACAAAATATAAGAAATGAACAAATCTCTAAAGTAAAATCAACTTACTGTGACCGTCATAAAACCCCAAACCAAACTCGCCGTGACTTCTGAAGACGGAGGTCAGACCTAGCCCGCACGCCGTATTCCCAGCTGACAGCAGACATAGGAGACAAACCCTTGAGTGCATTAGCTCATCGGATTCTGACTCACAGTGACCTTACAGGACAGAGTAGAACTAACTGTCCTACAAGGGTTTCAAAGCCATGAATCTTTAAGAAAGCTGACCGTCACGTTTCTCCTACAAACTGGCTGGTAACTTGGTTGGCAGCCAACTGCTTTAATGACAGTGCCACCAAGGTTTCTTGATACCACCAAAACAAAAACATCCAAACTCACTGCCTGAGTTTGACTCTCAGCGACCCTGCAGGGGGTGCAAGGTAGAGCTGCCCTTGTGGGTTTCCCAAGAGACTTTATCTCTGAACTGGAGTAGAAATCTTTTCTCCTACAGAGCAGCGGGTGGTTTCAAACTGCCGACTTTGAGGTTAGCAGCCCAATCTTTAACCACTCCACCACCAGCCTACCTTTATTTTTGAACAAGTCCGTTTCTTGTAAAGGTCCAAATTGGGTTAGTCATTAAAGAGCAAGCAAAGGCAATTATGAATGTTTTGCGGCCTTTATATAAGAAACAGCCAGCTTGATAGTGAGATGGGACTTCACATTCTTTATCATGGACTTTTTTTACTTTTAGTTTTCCGACAATAGACAAGACCATTCGTATTTTTACTTCTTTAGCCAAAAAACATTATTAAATAGAACTTGCAAATGCAAAATAAGTATCTCCAACGTTTGAAATTAACCATGGACTCTTTTGTGATGTATGTTAGTAGTTCTTAAAAACCATCTGCAAACTGGATCTAGCCATAAAGCTTTCCTAAAATTTGAACACATGTGGGCCCCACCTGTTAATATAACATTGGATAATCCTGATAAAGTGGGCAGGGCATCTTCTTAAGCTTTGAAGATATTCAGACAGAGAGAGTTCAACTCTTACTGGGCACTAACAAGTTATATGCTCTTTAAGAATTTAAGGGTCAGCTGCTTAGGACCCTCCTCTACTAAAGTTCTTCTACAACTGAGGTATGAAAATCTAGTTCTGAGGAAGCATAAAAGCCTGTGCTTTAAAGAAACCTATAACACACAAATATCAGCCATAGACTTCTTAACCAAAGGCTCGAGTTATTTAAAACTTCTAACAAGCACTCATCTTCCACATGTCACAAAGTAATCTTTCCAGGCTCAAATTCAGTATGCAAAAGTAAAGCAGCAACAAATACATAACCTGTAATAATGATTACTATTTAATGTCAGATTACCAGGAAGAACTGGATACTGCAAGCATATCCTTGTTTTTCTAGAAGCTTTTAAAAAACCAGCACAACTTGTTTGCTAAATTTAGTTCAATTTTCCTCTAGGTGAAGAAGTTCATACTAACAAAACACATATTTAAGAAAATGAAATTCTTTCGAAAATGTGTATGAAAGGGAAATGCACATTAAAGAGAAATACTGTGCTTTACCTTGTGGTCATTGTTATTTAGTAAGTACACTCTAAAATGACAATGGTTTCCTTCACACTCATTCCAAGGTATGAATTTGTAACTTCCTGGGACTTCATAGGGCCTTTTCCAACAATCACATACAATATATTCTTTAATGTTATACAAAAAAATCAGGCATGAACTTCTTACAAAAATTGTAAAATGGGGGGTAAGAGGACTAAACTCCTGACAATTATTCCTCTGGGAATTTAAAGTTAACCTTTAATGTTTTTTGCTAGCAATAGGGCAACAGACATATTTCAAGCCAATAAATCTTGTATGAAGCCTGACCAAGGTTCACAACTTACTTTGAACATAACTATAGTTGACACTGTCTCTTTAAATAGTAAATGGAATTTAGCTGACTCATTTTAGAGGGCAGTGTAAACATTTTCATCATCACTTAAGTTAATAAACACATTCTGCTGGGTCTTTTAAATTTTACTCAGTACAACGGGGCTTCAAATAATAAATTACTTGTGTGACCACTACGCACGAAGTACCTCAATCTTCGCCTTATCCAAAAAGTTGGGCAGTCCAATAGTAAACTGTAGGACTTATGCTACCTTATCTTATGCTCATTCCAATGTCATCCTTAGCTTTAAAAGCAAAATGGCACACAAATACCAAAACACAGTAAGCAAGTTTTAGTTAAATCTTATTCTTAGATCTTTTTTGTGCTTTTATGTAAATATCAGGAATTTGGGCATGCAAAGTATTACACCACTCCTCCCTTCAATGCACTGTCAACTGACTCACTTGAGACACAAGAAGGGCGCTAGATTCTATGGCTTCCCCCAGTAGAAAGCCAGCTTTTAAATGCCATCACATGTGCACAGCTTGCCTTAATATTTCTCAGAAGCTTACGTAGATCACATGGACGGCGCCTCAACCTGTCACAAGGCTGCAGTGTGACAGGCTGAGCTGGATGGAGGCTCTCACATAAAACCCAGTCAACAGGGGCCTCTGAAATCAGCTTCTATTTATATCGCAGAGCCTGCCAACTCCTACACAGCCCCGACTGATGAGGCAGCGTTCATACATTTAACATGAGAAAACAAAATACAATGCGATTAAAGTTGTCATTAAAACGGTTTTGCATGTTTTAAAATGTCAGCAGAAGAACCAGAGGAAGGACTCTTTAAATTCAACTCAGAAGGCTCCAGCATCACTGAGGCCCAAACGGTCAGGTTGAAAGGTCAAAGTGCACCAAAGCCCAAGGAATCCTCATGTTCGGTTACCTTTGGGAGGGGCAAGGGGGCGGGGCAAGGGTCTATTAGATGGAATAGGGTTCTCCCGCTTGGTAATTAAAATATGATATATATGTATGTGTGTGTATATGTATGTGTGTGTATATATATATATAAAATACACGCCTCTGTCAGCTGAGGGACGGGGGAGAGGGCAATGATCTTTTTAAAATTCGGTTTTCCCTATTAATAGTAAAAAAAAAAAGCCCCAAACCCACAACCAACAAACAACTTAAGCATCAACTCTCCATTCCCAAACTTGAATAAAGAGCTTTTAAGCGCATGAATTCCTTCTTTCAAGATGCACCAAGGAAGTGACGGGGCTAAGACTCTCCCTAATCCCTCCGTGCTAGCCGGCCAGAGCTCTACAACCTACTACGACCAAGTGACCTTGGGCAAGTCTTTCTTTCCCAGATCTCTCTCTCATCACTTCCCCTTTGGCCCAAAGAAGTAGATTAGGGTGATCTGTAAAGGCCTCATAGCGATGGGAAGCGAAGGGCGAAGAAAGTACAATTTCCAAAAAACAAATACAAAAGTACTTTTTAAAAACAGCATTTTAAAGGCAAATGTCCAATAGCCCATCGATTGCGTTCTGAAATCCGAGTCGTTCAAAAACGTCTTCACAACGAGCAATGACTCTGGCCTCGAATTCCTACATCAGAAGCCATCGATAAATAAGCAGAAGCCTGCCTCGCACACCGGAGCCTCACGGGGTGCAGGGACCCCCCCCCCACATTTAGGCCCCCGCGGCCGGAATGCCCGAAACAAAGAGGAAGGTGCCCCACTTCCTGCCGCGGCGCGAGCTCGGAGCAGGAACGCAGCGACGCGGAGACCACCCGTGCAACACGACCGCCGAGACCCACTGGGGGCGCGTTCCCGGGGTTCCGCGAACAAGTGCGGGTCCCCGTGGGTGCCCACCCCCCTCCAGGCGCAGGCCGTGCTCGCGAACGCCCAGCCGCC